GGGGCCCCCCCGGGGCCCCCCCCCGGGCGGGGGGGGGAGGGGAAAAAAAGAGGGGGGGGGAGGGGAGAAGGCACCCAGGGCGGGGGGCAGGAACTCGTTTGTACTGGTCCATACTGGGAGAAGGCCTATGGGCATCAACACAGCAGTGGGGGCACCCTACCGGTCCATACTGGTCTGTACTGGTCCGTACTGGGAGCACGCAAGGCCACGCGGGTGAGGAGAGCTCTGGACTGGTTTGGACTGGTTTGTACTGGTCCGTGCTGGGAGGACCCAAGGCCACGCCGGTGAAGAGCTCCCAGTTTGGCTGCCGGACTGGTCCGTACTGGTCCATACTGGTGCATGCTGGGATGGCTGAAGGCCATGGCAAGGCACTGGTCCGTACTGGTCCGTACTGGTCCGGCACAAGGCGATGCATGTGGGGGGCTCCCAGTTGGACTCCCAGCCCCTTCCTGCTCCAAACTGGTCCATACTGGTCTGTACTGGTCCGGCCCAAGGCAGCGCAGATCCAGGAGTTCCCAGGCGGGATGTTGCAGTGGTTGGTACTGGTTCGTACTGGGATGTCCCACGGTGGTGCAGAACCCAGCAGGGAGGCACTGGGCTCTACTGGTTCATACTGGTTTGTACTGGGATGTCCCACGGTGGTGCAGAACCCAGCAGGGAGGCACTGGGCTCTACTGGTTCATACTGGGAGGGGTCTCTGGGGGGTCATGGGGAGCTCTGGGGGTCCCTGCTGACCCCAGGGTGGCCCTGGGGACCCTGTGGTGGCCTTGGAGACCCCAAAAGGACCCACCTGTCCCTATTTGGGGTCTCTGGGGTCCCCAGAATGTCCCACAGACCCCCAAGGTGACCTCAGGGTGACATTTTATGGTGTCCCCGCAGTGTCCTACAGGTTCTCACGCTCAATTTGGGAGTCCCCATGATGGGTTTGGGGTCCCTGGAGATGTTCTGTGGGGTCTCCACACTGTCCTACAGACCCCGGCAGTGACCAGAGGGTCCCCTTGGTGGCCTCAGGGTGACATTTTATGGTGTCCCCATGTTGTCCTACAGACCCCGGCAGTGACCAAAGCCTCCCCATTGTGACCTCATCACTTCTTGGAGATGTTCTGTGGGGCCACCGCCTTGTCTTACACACCTCCAGTGACTTTGGAGCCCCTCATGACCTCAGGACCTCTTTGAGATGTTCCATAGGGTCACCACCTTGTACCACAAACCCACAGTGACTTTAGAGCCACTCATGACCCCAGGACCACTCTCAGATGTTTTATGGGGTCTCCATCTAGTCCTACACACCTCCAATGACTTTGCAGCCTCTCGTGATGATCTCAGGACCACTCTGAGACGTTCTATGGGGTCTCCACATTGTCCTTCAGACCTCCACTGACTTTGGAGTCTCCATAGTGGCCTTAATGGAACTTTTAAAGTGTCCCCACATGGTCCCACAGGACTCCAGAGTGACCACGGGGTTCTTGGAGATGTTCTGTGGGGCCACCACCTTGTCCTACAAAGCCACAGTGATTTTGGAGCCACTCACGATCACCTCAGACCCACTCTGAGATGTTCTGTGGGGCCACCACCTTGCCCTACACACCTCCAGTGACTTTGGAGCCCCTCATGACCTCAAGACCTCTTTGAGACGTTCTGTGGGGTCTCCACCTTGTCTTACACACCTCCAGCGACTTTGGAGGTCCTCAGAACCTCTTTGAGATGTTCCATGGGGTCACCACCTTGTCCTACAAACCCACAGTGACTTTGGAGCCACTCATGACCTCAGGACCACTCTCAGATGTTTTATGGGGTCTTCATCTACTCCTACAGACCTCCAGTGACTCTGGAACCCCTCATGATGACCTCAAGACTTCTTTAAGATGTTCTATGGGGTCACCACCTTGTCCTACAAACCCCCAATGACTTTGGAGCCCCTCATGACAATCTCAGGACCATTCTGAGATGTTTTATGGGGTCACCACCCTGCCCTACACACTCCAATGACTTTGCAGCCTCTCGTGATGATCTCAGGACCACTATGAGATGTTCTGTGGGGTCTCCACATTGTCCTTCAGACCTCCAGCGACTTTGGAGCCCCTCATGACAATCTCAGGACCATTCTGAGATGTTTTATGGGGTCTTCATCTACTCCTACAGACCTCCAGTGACTCTGGAACCCCTCATGATGACCTCAAGACTTCTTTAAGATGTTCTATGGGGTCACCACCTTGTCCTACAAACCCCCAATGACTTTGGAGCCCCTCATGACAATCTCAGGACCATTCTGAGATGTGTTATGGAGTCACCACCGTGTCCTACACAGCTCCAGTGACTTTGGGGCCCCTCACGATGACCTCAGCACCTCCTGGAGATGTTCTGTGGGGTTACCACCTTGCCCCACACACCTCCAATGACTTTGCAGCCTCTCGTGATGATCTCAGGACCACTCTGAGATGTTTTATGGGGTCTCCACCTAGTCCTACACACCTCCAGCGACTCTGGAGCCCCTCACGATGACCTCAGACCCACTTTCAGGTGTTTCACGGGCTCACCACCTTGCCCTACACCCCTCCCTACGGCGACCTTGACATTCCCACCCTCTCTCCCCCACACCCCCTACCCCACCGGTGCTCCCGAGTCCATCCCCTACCCCGAAGGAGGTCCCACCGGGGGTCCCCCCGGCGCGGTGGCCCCCCAGCCCTCCAGGTACCTGGCGAAGAGCCCCTTGGCGCGGCGCAGGACGCGCGGCAGGTGGTGGCGGCGCACCAGGCGGTCGAAGTGCATGGCCACCTCGTTGTAGTCGCCCGCCCGCGCCATGACGGCCTCGCGCTGCTCCAGCAGCATGGCCAGGCACACGAAGAGCAGGAAGGGGTTCCCCTGGCCCAGCTCTTCTGGCGGCGGCAGCGGCGCCCCGTCGTCCTCCACCGTCACCTCCTCGTCCGAGGAGGACGAGCCCGAGGAGCACGAGGAGGAGGAGGAGCTGGAGGAAGGGTCTTCCCAAGCCCAGCGGCCGCCCCAAGGGTCTTCGGGGGTGGTTGGGTTGTTGCGGGTGGTCTTGGGGTGGTGGTGGTCGTCCTCAAGGTTGTGGTGGCCGTGTTTGGTGTCGTCATGCTCTTCCTTGGGGTCGTGGTGGCCATGTTTGAGGTCATCGTGGTTGTCCTTGGGGTCACCGTGGCCATGTCTGGAATCATCACGTCCTTCCTTGGGGTCATCATGGCCATCCCTGGGGGCATGGTGGTCATCCCTGGGGTTGTTGTGGCCTTCTCCAAAGCCGTGTCCTTCTCTGAGATCATCGTAAACCTTCCTGGCGTCACCACGACTCATCCCAGAGTCATCTTGTCCTTTTCTCAGGTCATCAAATCCCTCTTTGGGGTCATCCAGTCCCTTTTTGGGGTCATCTCGTCCTTCTCTTGGGTCACGTCCCTCTCTGGGGCCATCCTGTCCTTTTTTGGGGTCTTCTCCAGCCCCCCAGCAGAGGCTGTGTGGTCTCTGGTCGATCTCCAGGGCGTCGGTGCCTTCCTCCACCTTCCTGGAGCCACCTGCCTCCAAGTCCTTGGAACCCTCGGGGGCTCCTCCAGCATCCCTGGGGGGTCTCCCCTGGACCTTCCTGGAGCTCTTGTGACCTTTGGGGCCATCACTGGAGCTTTTGTGACCTCTGGGGACATCACTGGCGCTCTTGTGACCTTTGGGGACTTCGCTGGAGGTCTCAAGACCTTCCTGAATGTTCTTAAAGCTCTTGGGAGCTTCCTGGTGGTCCCTGGGACCATCAGAGACATCATGGGGGCTCTCGGGATGCTCCTGGATGCCCTTGTATCCTTCTAGAACATCACTGAAGCTCTTGGGACTCTCCAAGACCTCGCTAGACATCTCAGGACTGTTGGGGACATCTCCAGAGCTCTTGGGACCCTCTGGGCCATCACTGGAAGTCTTGAGACCCCCAGGGCTACCACTGGAGCTCGTGGGACCACCTGTGATGTCACTGGAGCTCGTGGGACCCTCTAGGCCACCAGTGGAGCTCATGGGACCGCCTGGGACATCACTGGAGCTCGTGGGACCCTCAGGGCCATCACTGGAACCCTTGAGACCCCCAAAGCCACCACCAGAACCCTCCACGACCCCTCCAGCGCCTTCTCCTCCACGTTCCTCGTCCTCCACGTTCCTCCTCCTCCTCCTCCTCCTGGGCGGCCGCGGCCGCAGCCCCCGGCGCTCCCTCAGCCCCCGGCCGGCCCTGCGCGCCCCCAGGGGGGCTCCGAGCAGCGGGACCCCCTCGGGGGGCGGCGGTGGGGCGGGGGGCAGCGAGCTCCAGGTGATCTCCAGCACCTTGAGCGCGTCCTCGAAGGCGAACTCGCGCTTCAGCTCCAGCAGCAGCCAGCGGTAGCAGAAGAGCAGGTCGTGCGCGCCGCGCGCCGCCAGGAAGGCCCAGAACGGGGGGTCGGCGCGCCGCAGCAGCCGCCGCAGGTGGCCGAAGGCCCGCGCCAGCCCGCGGCCGCCGGGGCGGAAGCGCGGGGCCAGGCGGCGCATCAGCGAGCAGAAGCACAGGAAGGCCTGGGCCTCGTCGTCCAGCACGGCCAGCAGCGGCGCCGCCACGTCCGACATGCCCTGGCAGTAGGAGAGGCGCGGGTGGCCCAGCGCGAAGGTGGTCAGCAGCGCCTGCAGCGCCGCCAGGTGAGGGTGGCCCTCCTCGGGGCCGCCGAAGTAGGGGTGGGCGCGGTCCGTGCGCACCACGTCCTTGCGCACCGCCGCGGCCACCTGCGCCAGCTCGGCCGGCGCCGCGCGCGCCGCCAGGGCCACCTTCAGCGAGGAGTACTCGGCCGCCTTGAGGCGCAGGTGGGACAGGCGCTCCTGGCCCGTCAGGCCGGCGGGGAACACGTTCAGCAGGTAACGCCAGACCACCTGTATGGGGGGATGGGGAAGGTGAGGGATCAGGGATGTGTCCCACAGGTAACACCAGACCACCTGTATGGGGGGAATGGGACAGGTGAGGGATCAGGGCCAGACCACCTGTATGGGGGAATGGGGACAGGTGAGAAACCAGGGATGTGTTTCACAGGTAATGCCAGACCACCTGTATGGAGGAATGGGACAGGTGAGAGATCAGGGCCAGACCACCTGTATGGGGGGATGGGACAGGTGAGGATCAGGGATGTGTCCCACAGGTAACGCCAGACCACCTGTATGGGGGGATGGGACAGGTGAGGGATCGCGGGTATGTCCCACAGGTAATGCCAGACCACCTGTATGGGGGAATGGGGACAGGTGAGAGAAAGGACATGTTCAACAGATAACACCACACCACCTGTATGGGGGAACGGGGACAGGTGAGGGATCAGGGATGTGTCCCACAGGTAACATCAGACCACCTGTACAGGGGAATGGGACAGGTGAGAAACCAGGGATGTGTTCCACAGGTAACGCCAAACCACCTGTATGGGGGGATGGGACAGGTGAGGGATCACAGATATGTCCCACAGGTAATGCCAGACCACCTGTATGGGGGAATGGGGGCAGGTGAGAACAAGAACAAATTCAGCAGATAACAACACACCACTTGTACAGGGGAAAATGGGATCAGGGACAGCAAGAACTCTCAGGTGCTGATCAGGATGGATCTGAGCATCCCCAGGTGCGGCTGAGGTGACGTCAGGCAACATCAGAACCCCCAAGGTGTGACTCAGGTGTAATCACAACCGCCAGGTAAGTCTCAGGAAGAGCAGGTAACCCCAAAGGTGTGGCTCAGAAGACTCCAAAATGTGGCTCAGAGGACCCCAGGTGCCATCGAACCCCTCCCAAGTGTGACCACACCCCCAGGTGTGTCCCAGGTGTGACCACACCCCCCAGCTGTGTCCCAGGTGTGACCACACCCCCAGGTGTGTCCCAGGTGTGACCACACCCCCCAGCTGTGTCCCAGGTGTGGCTCTGGTCCCTCACCTTGCGCAGGCCGGGCTCGACGCCGCCGTGGAAGACGTGCAGCCGCAGGTCCTGGGGCCGCAGCAGGCGCCCACCTGGGCCCAGGTACGACCTCAGGTCGGCGTCGCTGAGGGGGGCGCAGGGTGGGGGCGGGGGAGGGGGCGGGGACACGGCCGGGGTCCCCTCGGGCCACGCCAGGGCCGCCTGCGCCCGCGCCAGCGTCCGGCCCACCTGTGGGAACGGCACAGCTGCCACTGGGAGGGCACTGGGAGGGCACTGGGATGCCCAGGAGAGCAGCAGGAGCTCTCTGTGAGCTCCCAGCAGGGTGGGGCAGCCCAGGCGTGCCTCACCTGCGCCAGGTGTGCTCACCTGCGCCAGCAGAGCCTGGGTGAAGGGCAGGGCTGCCGCCAGCAGCGAGCGGCGCTCGGGGACCGGCTCGGCCGCCGCCACCTCCCGCGGGCTGATGATGTCCCAGTCCTCCAGCAGCGGGCCTGGGGACAGCTCACCTGAGCCACAGGTACCTGAGAGCCCCGCCTCGCACACCTGAGCCACGCCGGGCACCCCCAGGTACCCAGCACCTCCTGACCCCCAGCCCATGGCCCCGAGTGCCCCAGGTGTGCCCTGTCCCACCCAGGTGCGTCCCCCTGTGCCCAGGTGTGCGCAGGTAAGTCTGTGACTGCCCCAGGTATGTCCCAGGTGAACTCCAGGTGTGTCCCCACCGCCCAGGAGTGTCCCACGTGATTTCCCTCAGCTGGGTGTGCCTCATGTGTGTCTGTGTCCTACGTATGTCCCAGGTGTGTCTCCACCCACCCAGGTGTTTCCCAAGTGTACCCCCATCCACCCAGGTGTGTCTCAGGTGTACCCCCACCCACCTGGGTGTGTCCCCACCCACCCAGGTGTTTCCCAGGTGTATCGCCACCCACCCAGGTGTGTCTCAGGTGTGTCCCCACCCATCCTGGTGTATTCCACGTGTGTCCCAGGTGTAACTCCACCCACCCAGGTGTATCCCAGGTGTATCCCCACCCACCCAGGTGCACCCCAGGTGGGTCACTCACTGTCAGGGGGGTTCCTGACGTCCAGGCGCAGCCTCAGGGTGGGCCGGGCGCAGGTGAAGGCGTTGGCCAGGTCACCATCGCTCAGCAGAGGCACAAAGGTGTCCTGGCCCTGCCCGTCCCGCGCTGCGAAGCTCAGAACAAAGCTTTTCTTCCTGAGGGGGGACAGGTGAGCTCACCTGGGTGCTCTGAAGGGTCCCAGGTGCATCCGGGTGGGAACCGGGGGGCTCCACTCACCCCTGCAGGTCGAAGGCCCGGGCCAGGATGTGCTGCAGCACGTCCAGCGACGTGATCTGCGGGTCCACGGCGAACGAGCGGAACTCGGGCGGCTGCTGCCCCTCGTTCTTCTGCAGGAAGAGAGTCAGGGGGTCCCGACAGGGTCCCGGGGGGTCCCGGGAGGTCCCGGAGCCCCCCGGTCCCTCACGGCGATCCAACATGGCGGCACAGCGCGGTCACCACGGCGACGCCGCGCGCCTCCCGCAACGCTGATTGGCGGCCGCTCCCCACGTGACACGAAAGGCGGGAAAATTTCCCGCCGGTGCCACACCTGCACGTGGCAACGCCCCCCCCGAGCTGATTGGCTGCCGGGGAGCACGTGACTCCACCGATTAACTCCGCCCACTCGGAGTTAATTAACTCGCTAATTAAATAACCACGCCCACACAGGGTTCCGCCCAGAACCACGCCCCGCCCCCTTACCTTGACGCGCACGCGCACAACCTCGCACTCCTCCTCCAGCGCGGCCCCGCCCCCGCCGCCCGGCGAGGCCCCGCCCCCCGTTGTCGCCGCCATGTTGGGGCGGGGTCGGGGGGGGTTGGGGGTTTTGGGGGGGTTTCGCCGCCGCCGCCGCCCCCCCGAGCCGGGGAAGCGGGGGGGCTGGTGTTACGTCACCGTGCTGACGTCACGCCGCGCCCCCCGGCCGGACGGTGCGCGTTTGTCGGGGGGGATCCGGAGCCGCGCCGCGCCCGTGCCCGTCCTGCGGCCGCGGCCGCGGCAACAACATCCGGGGCAGCGCGCGGAAGTGACGTCACGGGGCGGGCTCCGCCGACTCGGTTCCTCTGGTGACGCCACCAACTCCCCCCACCCTTTCCCAACGCAGCGAAATGACGTCACAGGCAGCGATTCACATTGGGTTTATTGGGAGGGAGAGGGGGGCGCATGCGGGACCCCCTTAAACGGGCAACGCCAGAGTGGGGACCACGTCCTTCTTAAAGGGGCAACGCCGCGGCGGGAACCGCCCCCAGTCTTAAAGGAGAACGCCCTCCAGGGAGCCCCGCCCACCCTTAAAGGGGCAACGCCACGTAAAGAACCGTCCGGCCTTAAAGGGGCAATGCCGGATGGACCAACCGCGTCCTTAAAGGGGCAACGCCTCCCCGCAGCAGCGCCCCGGCCAGGGGGCGGAGCCTGCGGGGGGGCAGGGGGCGAGGCCCCGCCCACCAGGGGAGGCCCCGCCCCTCAGGGGGGTCCCGCGGGGGCCGCCTGTTCCTTCCTGAGCTGCGCCAGCTCCTGGGACAGCGACTCCAGGTCCTGGAAAGGGGGGAATGAGGGGTGGAAGAGACCCCGCCCACTGACGAGGCCACGCCCTCAGTGGCCACACCCTTGTGCTGCTCGCACACACAGCTGAAAGCCCCACCTCCACTTCAATTCTCCCTTTTATGTCTATAAATTGTGATGTCATAGCTTATGCCACACCCCCACACTTAGACCACGCCCCTTTTAGCCCCACCATCTTCCCACAAGCCACACCCCTATAAGCCACACCCTCACCCTTTAACCACACCCATTCCCAGAGACCACACCCATTTAATAAACCACACCCCTTTAAGAGGCTCCACCCCTTCCCACAAGCCACACCCTTCCGGCCCCGCCCCCCGCTGGCCCCGCCCCCTCACCTGTGCCAGGTGCAGGTTCTTGGTCAGCTGCTCCTCCAGGAGGTTCTGCAGCTTCTTGTTCATCTCCCGCAGCCCCTCCTCACCCGGGCCCGGCCCCGCCCCGCGCCGCGCCGGCCCCGCCGGAGCCGCGGCCTCTGCCGGCAGGTGAGACAGGGGAGGGACAGGGGAGACAGGGGAGACAGGGGAGGGACAGGGGAGGGACAGGTGAGACAGGGGAGGGACAGGTGAGACAGGTGTAACAGGTAATGCCCAGGTGTACCAGGTGAGGGACAGGTGAACCCCAGGTGTACCATGTGAGGGACAGGTGACCCCAGGTGTACCAGGTGAGGGTACAGGTGATGCCCAGGTGTACCATGTGAGGGACAGGTGACCCCAGGTGTACCAGGTGAGGGACAGGTGAGCCCAGGTGTACCAGGTGAGGGACAGGTGAACCCCAGGTGTACCATGTGAGGGACAGGTGACCCCAGGTGTACCAGGTGAGGGTACAGGTGATGCCCAGGTGTACCATGTGAGGGACAGGTGACCCCAGGTGTACCAGGTGAGGGACAGGTGAGCCCAGGTGCCAGAGGCTCCAGGTGAGCCCCGGTGCCCCCACCTGTGCGGCTGTCCCTGACGAAGCTCTGGATGATGGCGCTCTTCCTGCACAGATCCTCGGCCATGGACGCGCTCGACACCTCCAGGTGCCTCACCTGCCCGGGGGCTCCAGGTGAGGGCGCCGGCCGCGACCCCGTCCCTCCAGTGCTCCCAGTGCTCCCAGTCCCTCCCAGTCTGGTCCCATTTTGGTCCCAGTCCCTCCAACTCTGTTCTCAGACCCCCCCAGTCCCTCCCAGTTTGCTCCCAGTCCCTCCCAGTCCCCCCCAATCCCCTCCCAGTCCATCCCAGTCCCCCCCAGTCCCACCCAGTTTGGTCCCAGTCCCTCCCAGTGCTCCCAGTTTCCTCCCAGTCCCTCCCAGTTTGGTCCCAGTTTCCTCCCAGTCCCTCCCAGTGCTCCCAGTTTGTTCCCAGTCCCTCCCAGTTTGTTCCCAGTCCCTCCGTTTGTTCCCAGTCCCTCCCAGTTTGATCCCAGTTTGCTCCCAGTCCCCCCCAGTCCCTCCCAGTCCCTCCCAGTTTGTTCCCAGTCCCCTCCCAGTCCCCCCCAATCTCCTCCCAGTCCCTCCCAGTTTGCTCCCAGTCCCCCCCAGTTTGATCCCAGTCCCTCCCAGTCTCTCCCAGTTCCCTCCCAGTCCCTCCCAGTTTGCTCCCAGTCCCTCCCAGCCGCCCCCAGTCCCTCCCAGTCCATCCCAGTTTGCTCCCAGTCCCTCCCAGTTTGCTCCCAGTCCCCCCCAGTCCCTCCCAGTCCCTCCCAGTTTGTTCCCAGTCCCCTCCCAGTCCCCCCCAATCTCCTCCCAGTCCCTCCCAGTTTGGTCCCAGTTCCCCCCCAGTCCCCCCCAGTCCCCCCAGTACCTTCTCCTCCAGCAGCCAGCGCTCCTGCTGGCTCTGGGCCAGCCTCTGGAACAGCTCGGCCACCTCTGCGGGGGACAGGCCCCCCCCGGCCGGGACCCCCCCGGCGCTGCCGCCCCCGGGGCTGCCCGAGCCCGACTGCGCCGGGGGCGGGGCCGGGGGCGGGGCCACAGCCCGTCAGACCACGCCCACCAAAGCTCCGCCCCACCACGGGGTCGGTTCATCAAGGGGATGGGGGGGATGGCCACGCCCACACTGGGGCACACAAAGCCACGCCCACATTAAGCCACACCCCAAATTAGCTGTGTTCTAGTTAAGCCACGCCCACCCCAAGCCACACCATCTTTAGCCACACCCCATTGGGCCACACCCATTTAAGCCACACCAAATTATCTGTTATTAAGCCACTCCCACCCAGCCACACCCTCTTAAGCCACACCCCCAGTGGGTCACACCCCTTTAAGCCACACTCCAAATTAGCTATGCTCTAATTAAGCCACACCCTCTTAAGCCACACCCCTTAAAGCCATGCCCACACCCCCAATTAGAGCCCAAGCCACACCCCCATAGTTTACACCCCAATTGAGCCACGCCCTGAATAAACCACACCCTCCTAAGCCACACCCTAATAAACCACACCCCCTGTTTAATCCCATTAAGCCACGCCCACAAAGCCACACCCTCACAAGCCACGCCCATTTCCAGGCTCCACCTCTTTTCTCTAAGACCACACCCCCTGCCCTAAGCCCCACCCCCTTCCCTGAGGCCACGCCCACCTTGGTGCTTCCGGGGGCGGAGCCATCGCGGCCCAATGAGGACACGGAGCTGCTGTCCCCGCCCGGGCCCCGCCCAGGGGAGGAGCCTCCGTCCAGCCCCAGCTCCTCCAGCCCTGGGGACCCCAAAACCCCGTCAGGGACCCCAAAATGCACCTGGGGACCCCCAAAATCCACCTGGGGACCCCAAAATGCACCTGGGGACCCCAAAATTCACCTGGGGACCCCAAAATGCACCTGGGGACCCCGAAATGCACCTGGGGACCCCAAAATTCACCTGGAGACCCCGAAATGCACCCAAAACCCCCAAAATCTCATCAGGGACCCCAAAATCCACCTGAGAACGCCCAAAATCCCATCAGGGACCCCCAAAACCCCGTCAGGGACCCCAAAATGCACCTGGGGACCCCAAAATGCACCTGGGGACCCCAAAATCCCATCAGGGACCCCAAAATTCACCAGGGAACGCCTAAAATCCCATCAGGGACCCCAAAATCCCATCAGGGACCCCAAAATGCACCTGGGAACCCCCAAAAATCCAATTAGGGACCCAAAATACCATCAGGGACCCCCCTCAAATTTTGGGCTTCCCCCCTCCCAGAGTTTCCCCCTCCCCAAATTTTGAGGTTCCCCCTCCCAGTTTTTGGGGTTCCCCACCCCAAATCTTGAGGTTTTCTCTCCCACAGTTTTGGGGTCCCCTCCCCAAATTTCAGGGTCCCTCTCTCTTCAAATTTTGGGCTTCCCCCCTGCCCAAGAGTGTTCCCCCCTCCCCAAATTTCGGGGTCCCTCCCCAAATCTTGAGGTTCCCGCTACCCAAATTCCAGGGTCTCCCCTCCCCAAATTCTGGGGCTCCCCCTCCCCAAATTTACGGGGTCTCTCCTCCCCAGATTTTGGGCTCCCCTTCCCCAAATTTCAGGGTTGCCCTCCCCAAATTTTGAGGTTCCTGCTCCCCAAATTTCGGGGTTCCCCCTCCCCAAATTTCAGAGTTCCACTTCCCAAATTTCAATGTCCCCTCCCCAGATTTTGAGGTCCTGCTCCCCAAATTTCAGGGTCCCCCCTCCCCAAATTTGTGGTCCCCTCCTCAAATTTTGGGCTCCATCCTCCCAGATTTTGGCATTCCCCTCCCCACATTTCACGGTCCCTCCTCCCCAGATTTTGGGGTCCCCCTCCCCAAATTTCGGGGTCCCACTCCCCACATTTCAAGGTTTCTCCTCCCCAGATTTCGGGCTCCCCTTCCCCAAATTTCGGGCTCCCACTCCCCACATTTCAAGGTTTCTCCTCCCCAGATTTCGGGCTACCCCTCCCCAGATTTCAGGCTCCCCTTCCCCAAATTTTGGGGTCCCACTCCCCACATTTCAGGGTCCCTCCTCCCCAGATTTCGGGGTCCCCCTCCCCAGATTTCGGGCTCCCCCTCCCCAAATTTGGGGTGCCCCTGACCCGAGCGCGCCCTGCTGGGCACCAGCCCTCCTCCCCAGGTTTCGGGCTCCCCCTCCCCAAATTTCGGGGTCCCACTCCCCACATTTCAGGGTCCCTCCTCCCCAGATTTCGGGGTCCCCCTCCCCAGATTTCGGGCTCCCCCTCCCCAAATTTGGGGTGCCCCTGACCCGAGCGCGCCCTGCTGGGCACCAGCAGCTCCTGCAGCCGCTCCTGCAGCCGCTCCCCCCGGCGCCGCTCCAGCTGCAGCTGCCTCCTCAAATCCTTCAGCTGTGGGGCGAAATTTTGGGGTTTTGGGGCAAGTTTGGGGAACCCCCAAAGCGCCGGGGGGGTCCCCAAAAGTTTTGGGGTGTCCCCGAAGCCCCCCTGAGGTCGCTCACGGCGGCGCTGCCTTTCTTCTCCAGGATGCGCTGCCCATCCCGCACGTCCTTCAGCTCCTGGGGGGATTTTGGGGGGGTTTAGGGGATTTTGGGGGGTCCTGAGGGATTTTGGGGGGTCGTGAGAGGGATTTGGAGGGGTTACAAAGGGATTTGGGGTGATTTTTGGGGGTCACAGGGGGATTTGGGGGAGTTTTGGAGGGGTTTGGGTGAGTCTCTCAGTTCCTGGCGGGGGTTTAGGGGATTTTGGGGCCATTTGAGGGGATTTTGGGGCTGTTTTGGACTGTTTGGGTCTATTTTAGCGAATTTTTGGGTTGGTTTTGGGGATTTGGGAGATTTTGAAGCCATTTTTGGGGATTTTGGGGCTGTTCTGGGGAGTTTGGGGCTGTTTGGGGGTGTTTGGGTCTATTTTAGGGGATTTGGGGGTCGTTTTTGGACATTTTGGGGCTGGTTTGTGGATGTTTTGGGGCATTTTGGGGCTGGTTTAGGGTATTTGGGGTGTTTTTGGGGATTTTGGAGCCATTTTTGGGGATTTTGGGGCTGTTCTGATGCATTTGGGGCTGTTTTGGGGGATTTGGGGTTGTTTTAGTGTGTTTGGGTCTATTTAAGGGGATTTTGGGGCTGATTTTGGGGCTGGTTTTGGACATTTTGGGGCTGGTTTGCTGGTTGTTTTTGGGGATTTTAGGGTTGTTTTAGAGGATTTTGGGGCTGATTTGGGGTTGTTTTAGGAGATTTTGGGGCCGTTTTGGGGGACTTTGGGGCTCTTTTTGGGGGATTTTGGGGCCATTTTGGGGATTTTGGGGTTGTTTTAGAGGATTTCGGGGCCATTTTGGGGCTGATTTTGGGGCCAACTTTGGAACCATTTTGGGGGATTTTGGGGCTGTTTTTGGGCATTTTGGGGTTGCTTCAGAGGATTTTGGGGCCGTTTTTGGGGATTTGGGGTCCCACCTGTCTCAGGGCGCGCCCCTCGGCCTCGTGCAGCTCCCGCAGCCGCTGCTCCTCCCCCAGCGCCGCCCGCAGCTGCCCCAGCTCCTCCTGAGGGGACATTTGGGGACATTTGGGGACATTTGGGGACAATCTGGGGACAATTGGGGACCATTTCAGGACCTTTAGGGACACTTGAGGACAACCTGGAGGCAATTTGGAAACGTTTGGGGACATTTGGGGACACTTCGGGTCAGTCTGGGGACATTTGGGGACATTTGGGGACAATCTGGGGACAATTGGGGACCATTTCAGGACCTTTAGGGACACTTGAGGACAACCTGGAGGCAATTTGGAAACGTTTGGGGACATTTGGGGACACTTCGGGTCAGTCTGGGGACATTTGGGGACATTTGGGGACAATCTGGGGACAATTGGGGACCATTTCAGGACCTTTAGGGACAATTTAGCGACACTTGGGGACAACCTGGAGGCAATTTGGAAACGTTTGGGGACATTTGGGGACACTTCGGGTCAGTCTGGGGACATTTGGGGACAATTTAGGGACATTTTGGGATCAGTTAGGGACATTTTGGGGACATTTTGGTGACAATCTGGGGACAATCGGGGACCATTTCAGGACCTTTAGGGACAATTTAGGGACACTTGGGGACATTTGGGGACAACCTGGAGACGATTTGGAAACGTTTGGGGACATTTGAGGACACTTCGGGTCGGTCTGGGGACATTTGGGGACAATTTGGGGACAATTTGGGATCAGCTGGGGACATTTTGGGGACATTTTGGGGACATCTGGGACAATCGGGGGCCATTTCAGGACCTCTAGGGACAATTTAGGGACAACCTGGAGACAATTTGGAAACGTTTGGGGACACTTTGGGTCAGTCTGGGGACAACTGGGGACAATTTGGGGATATTTGGGGGCATATGGGGACAATTAGGGACATTTGGGGACAATCTGGGGACATTCAAGGACATTTGGGGATAATTTGGAAATGTCTGGGGACATTTTGGGGACATTTGGGGACATTTAGGGGTCCTGGCGGGGACAAGAATCACGACAGGGGCAGAAATGTTGTGATATTCCCCCCAAAATCCCCCCAAATTCCCAAAATTCCCCAAAATCCCCAACTCCTCACGAACTGCCTGAAAAATCCCCCAAAAATGACCCCAAAATCCCCCAAAATTTACCTCAGACCTCCTCAAAATACCCCCCAAATCCTCCCAAAATTTATCCCAAAATCCTCCCAAAATTTACCTAAATCTCCCCCAAAATCTCCCAGATTTACCCCAAATCCCCCAAAATCCCAAAAAATTTCCTCCAGATCCCCCAAATTTACCCCAAATCCCCCCAAAATTTCCCCCAAAATTTATCCAAAATCCCCTACAATTTCCCCAAAATCCCCCAAAATCCCCCAAATTTCCCCCTGACCTGGAGCTGCCCCCGCTGCTGCTCCTGCTCCTCGCGCAGCCGCTCCTGGGGGGGCACAGGGGGGGTTTTGGGGGGTCCCCCAATGCCCGGGGTGGACCCCGAAAGTGGGGAGGGGTCTCGGGGGGGGGTTTTGGGGTCACCTGGGCGGCCTCGGCCTCGTGCAGGCGCTGGCGCAGCTGCTCCCGCTCACCTGAGCACACCTGGGACCCCAAAATATCCATGGGGCCCCAAAATATCCCAGGGACCCCCCAAAACCACCCAGGGACCCCAAAATATCCATGGGGACCCCAAAACAGCCATGGGGACCCCCAGAACAGCCATGGGACCCCCAAAACATGCATGGGGACCCTCCCCAAAACCCTAACCCAAATCCCTCCTAGGACCCCCCCAAATGCCCCCCAAACCC